CTTAGATTCTTGACTAGAAGAGACAGTGGAGAAGATGGGGTGGGATTTGTGCTGTTAACCATAGCTCTTCTTCCTACTGGACTTCTCAGTTAACTAAATATAGTTTTTCTGGCTTTGTCTCTAGTCTGTGCTTCTGAGCTGTTGTGAGCTACAGCAGTCTGGAAATAAGTGAAAAATATTTTAGCTGGCATTTGTATATAAGAGAAATGCTTTGTAGGTGTACTGTGATAATGCCTTCTCTTTTTTGGTTCTTGTGGTCTTGAGGTTAGATGTAATCCATAGCTTTGCACATTGATCAAGTCAGTCCCTAATATCACAGAGCATCTTCCTAGATGTTGATGATTTTTCCCCATGTGGGAGGCGAACAGTTTGAAGCAGAGACATATGCTGGAGTGGTGACCATCTTTTTGGCTGAGTTCAGTGGTGACAGAACTCAGTTGCTCAGGTCTTAATGAATGATTAGGTGTTAGTAAGAATCAAGCAATTTTATTTGTTTTTGTCCAGCTACAAAATCATTATAAGTATTAAAAAGAGGGAAGAGAACAAGGAATGCTGTACACTTTAATCATTATGTATTAAGTCTGGGCAACCTTTGAACTCTCTGGGTATGCAGAAACATGCATCGACATTTGGTTCCCCAGGGAGAAGTAGCAGCAATGCACCTTGCTCCATGGTGCATGGCAGGTTGCCCTGGGTGGGGTAGGGGAGGCTGGGGCCAGCACTGTGCTGGCCCCAGCAGCCTTACCTGGAGTCCTGGGGGTCTCCTGGGGCTGCACCCACAGTGATTCTGTCATGCAAAGCCTGGCTGGCAGCCTCAGCACAGCTCTGGGTGGCCCAGCTCTGCTTTCAAGAAATGAATGCTGCCTGAGTGTGCACTGAGCCAGTTTTTATCCTGCAATATAATTTTTTCCTGCAGGATATCCAAGGGGCAAAAAAACCCATGGGAAAAAAAACCTGGCATAGTGCACAGCTGGGAAGTGCACCTTTGCAGTGTGGAGAGCACCAGGCTGTGTGGTATGTGGCGCTGTGAACATGTTTGCAGCGCCCCGTACTGCATCACTGTGATCCTGCACCAGCTATAATCCTCATATTTGTTCAGCAGGCACTTTAATAAGCAACCTTACAGGGAGCGTAGTAAGCATGAACACTGTTTTCTAGTGATATACAGTATTTTCATAATAATAATAAAAAAAAGGGGGTGATCAATATTTGATCATTGGAGCTAAGTACAGAGGTTGAAAAAGCCTGAGGTGGAATTGATTCAATCTTTGCAGGTTTTTCTAAACTGCATAGATTGAACCAAAAACTAACTAAACTGACATTCAGAGTTTGGGTGGCCAAGATAGAAGCCTGTCCTAGCCCAGGCCAGGAGCCCAGTGGGTACTCACATGCACCAACTCTCATGGCAACACTGCCTAAAGCTGCTGAACCCATCCCAGCAGCAGTCCAGGCCTGATTGCTTGCTGGACACGTGCCCCCACCTGCTGTTAGCAGCAGGGAGGGGAGAGCCAGCAGATGATCGTTCTCCAGACCTGCCCCCTCGACACCCCCTGGCCCAGACTAGTGGGCTGGGCTGAGCTGGGATCAGCTCACCCCCTCCCCAGCTGCCTGCCTCTGAAAGGTAGGGGAAGGAACACATCCTCCAGCTGGGGTCTGCCCAGTGTGGGAGAGAAGCCACCACTGGGGAACTTTTCCCCCACCACAGCCTAGAGGGCTAGGCTGGGAATGGCTCAACCTATTCTCCCCCCAGCCATCCGAGAAGCAAGGGGGCAGAACACACCTCGTGGCCTGGCACCAGCCCCCAGCTGAGGTCTGCTTGGTGCTGAGCATAAAAGCCCCCACCAGGAAGGCTGGGGAGGAGGTGGGCCTGAGTTTTTCTCAGGGTGAAAAGCCCTTCCCTGGGCCTTTCCCCCCATGCCAGGCAGACTGGCTTGGGTGGGGCCAGTACCAGGCTGGGGGGTGTGTTGCCTTCCTGCCTCCCCCTGATTCTTTGAGGTGGACAGCTGGGGAAGGGGTGGTGCTGAGCTCCCCAGTAGGGGCTTTCTCCTGCTCTAGGCAGACCCCAGCTGTGGCCCAATGCTGTTTATGTCCACTGAACTTCTGTTGTTGTACAGATTTTAAACCAGTTCAGATCACTTATGTCAGTTTATGTGTAACTTCTGTCCCTAGCCCTCAGGCTAGGGACAGAAGTTACACGTAAATTGGTATAAGTGATCGGAAACTGGTTCAAATCTGTAACACAGCAGAAGTTCAGTGGACATAAACCATTTTTAAAATGGCCAAAACTGATTTAAGATAAACTTGGATGGATGTCATATAAAATTTAATTGATTTAGGCTAAATCAGCTTATTGCATTTCTGTCTCAGATCACCTCCAGATTCAAGTCAATTCACAGTCTCCTAGCATCCCAGGATGATTCATAGATGCTAGGGTTGGAAGGGACCTCAATGGATCATTGAGTCTGAACCCCTGCCAGTGGCAGGAAAAAGTACTGGGGTCACGTGACCCCAGCCAGGGGTTTGTCCAGTCTTTTCTTGAAGACCCCCCAGGTAGGGGAGAGCACCACCTCCCTTGGAAGCCTGTTGCAGATTCTGGCAACCGTAACCATAAAGTTATTTTTGATGTCCAACCTAAATCTACACTCTATCAGCTTGTGGACATTGTTTCTGGTTATTCCAAGGGGTGCTCTGGTAAACTGAGAGTCTCGTATTCCCTCCTGCTCCCCACCCCCAGTGAATTTGTATACTGCCACAAGATCCCCCCTCAGCCTTTTCTTGTGGAGGCTGAAAAAGTCCAGGTCTCTCAGCCGTTCCTCATAAGGCCTTCCCGGCAGGCCTCTAACCATACGAGCGGCCCTCCTCTGGATCCTCTCAAGGTTGTCCACATCCTTCTTGAATTGTGGTGCCCAGAACTGGGCACATTACTCCAGCCTGTGGCCTGACCAGTGCTGCATAGAAGGGTAGCATCACCTCCCTGGACCTGTCCACGAAGTGCCTACTAATGCATGACAATGTGTGGTTAGCTCTGCTAATTACTTCGTCACATTGACAACTCACATTTATCTTGGAGTCAACAACCATTATGAGATCTCTTTCTGCCTCTGTGCTGCTGAGAAGGTCATCCCCCAGCCTATAGGTGCTAGTGATTCCCTCTCCCTAGGTGCAGCACTTTGCACTTGCCCTTGTTGAATTGCATCCTATTGTTCTCTGCCCACTTCTCTCCAGGTCCACCTGGATTCAGTTTCTTTCCATCAGTGTGTTTGCTTCACCTGATAGTTTGGTGTCATCTGTGAGTCTGGGCAGGGTGCTTTCCGTGTCCTCATCCAGGTTGCTGATGCAGATATTGAACAGCACCTGCCCAAGGACTAAGGCTTGGGGACCCCACTGCCCACATCTTTTGAGGATGCTTTGCATCTCCTCATAAATCCTCCCTCAGAGGGTGGGTGGGCTAGCTTTGACTCAAGCTTTCTGCTCCAGCTGGGTAGGGAGATGTGCTTTAGAGCTCCCAGGCTTCTGGCCTGGGCCACTGAAGGCACGTGGCTGTATTTCTGGAATCAAAAGTTAATGTCCACTTGTTGATTGGTTCAGTCTGTGCATTTTAGACTAACTTGTGAAGATTGAATCGATTCAGCCTTGGGCTTTTGACTGTCTGTACTTAGCTTGAGAGTCTTGTTGACCCCCTGTTGTATACAGAAGTGAGATATGCAGCCAGCACTCTTAAGGTTTACTTACAGTAGCAGGGGGTTTCCCAAATCATTTTCTTCTCATCACACCTCACATTAAGTTATGTCTGCTTTATTGCTTAATCATGACCTCTGGTGATGGCTGCTGTGATGGTGGTTTATCATTTTTAGCACACTGTGACACTGGATTATAAATCCCATGATGCAGAAGTGTAAAGATTTTATATTGCAGTATAGGCAAAAGAGTACTGAGTTAGTGAATGCTTGCTTTTGCCTTCATACTGTGCCCTATGGCCTACGTTGCTTATTAAGGAAAATGAGTTCCATGTGATGCTCCAAAAATCCAAGCCACCAAGTAGTTGTTCTTCAGCCAATAGAAAACAAATGAAACAGCCCCCGTATCTCCCAAGAGACTACCTGATGAGTTCCAAGAGAATGCAGGATTGATGTATACATATTCTGACCCTTTTCCTAACTTGGGAATTCTCCTATTACAAAAAAGTGAAAAAGAGAAAAAATAGTTTTGTGACTCTTCCATAGTAAGTAGTAATAATCACAAATTTGTTGTAAAATAATGATGCTGTTTTTTTCATTGTGGACTTTTTCCTGTACAGATATGCCCTGTTTTAGCTTTGTGATTGATCAAACTGAATTTGCAGAAAGTCAGTATCTGATTCACACACTAAATTGGTAGAGTCAAGATCAGTTCTCAGCCATGCTACAGATTTCCTTTGGGAAAGTGACTTGAGTTCCTGTCATACTCAGTCACCAATGTACTTTCATAAAACTCCCTGCTAACATTTCTGTGCCTCAGTTGCTCATCTTTTAAATATAATATGATTCCTCATGTCTTCCCATCTTTTAGTGTCTTGTGTGTTGTCTATCCTTAGAGTAGGGGACGGCCTCTCACTATGTTTGTATAGTGCCTAGCAAATTGGGATGCTGGTGAAGCCTCTCAGTGATACTATGATTTAGGAAAATATTTATTGGATGTATTGGTGGTCCATAAAACTTGCAGCCATTAGTACACAGTCTTCCTTAACAGAGGGTATGGTGAAAGATTATTGGGGTGTCATACATTCAATACAACTTTTTGGTTTGGACAGTCCCTTTTAGTGGTTGCTCACTAACTGTTAAGCAAAAATGAGAACAACAAGGATATTTAACAGTGTTGTGCATGTGGTACACCTGCTGTTAAAAAAGAAGGGTGGTAGACATTTGATTTTTGGTAGTTGTATAACGCAAGTTAATGTTATGTTGCACGTCTGGCATCCCAGTATGGAAAAGTACCTATAATATATCTTTTCTTTACTTCAGCAGAGCAAACATCACGGTTTCAAGCACTTCTTAGTGAGAGTACAGGTAATACTTGAAAAATTCTATCATCAATATTATATGGTAATTAACGTATTAGGAAATGTGTGTTTTGTTTTTTTTTAAAGTGTCCAGGAGCATTGAGTGATTTGCCCCCCCTACCCCGCCAAGTTATTAGCCTTTTGCTAAAAATATGTGTTTCCTTTAGATGAATGCCCGTTTTCTGTTAGTATGATCATCACTAAAATTTCAACTACTGTAGTGGCTAGGAAGTCTATTCTGTACTTTGCAGCTAGAAAGAGATATTTCAGATGAACAACACCTATCTGTTAATTAAACCTGAGGGGACTTTGGCAGACCTGTTTCATAAAACATGCCCATAGCCAGATCAGTGCTGGAAATGCGTAATTATTAAAGGGAAGGATTTGGTGCAGTTGTATAGCCCTATTCCCACACAGGGATCTGATGAGCATTTGGAGATAAATACAAACATTTCCCTGACAGTAAAAATTTTGCCTGTGGTACATATGCCACATTATTGATGGACTGCTTGAGTAGAGAACAGGATACAGGCAATTCAGAAGAGAAATCGGGTCACATTGATTTTATTTCAGTGATTGGCATTAGACATAGCATTGCCACTTCTTCATGCTTATTGGAGAGGTTATTCCAGGATAAAAGAAAATCTGGAGTACATTAGAAAACTCTATGACCTGTCTTGCATGTCTGACTTCACTCAAAACTAAACCCTTAGGTCATGTACATGCAAACATCTTCAGTGACTTCAGTGGGAGTTCAGCCATGATTTGAGGGCAGTATCTGACCTCTAACTGTCACCCAGCTTAGTTTGGGATCATTTTTCTGGGATATTGGAATGTAACAAAACTGGCATGTTTAGAATTCATGTAGCATCATGCATTGCTTGAGAGAGCCCCTCATTGTCTCCTCATTGAAGCTAGTCTAAGTCACCAACCAATAAGAATATTGACAGAGCTGAATCAGTCCTCTCTCAATCTAAATGCTTACACTAAAGGGTGATTTTCCAGTGCCTCTGGTTGATTAATGAATTTTGCCTAACAAGTGTGAATTTTTTAATGAAGTTTTCAGCCTCATATTCTAATCAGGTTTATTGACAAAAGAGCTAAAAGAAGCAAGAATAAGGATATTCCTGGCTTAGGAGGGAATCATTACTCTGGTTTGTAATCCCTCAGAAAACCTGGAATCAAGGAAATCTGAGGTCTGTAAAGGTTGTCACCATCCTCCATAATCTTCTACAAAAATGGATGAGTCAGAACAGATCTATCTGCATTTAAGAGAACAGACACTTTCCAAAGTCTGGTTCTCTGAGCAGAAGCCTTTTTTCTGTGCTTCTCTTGGCATGAATACATGGCATAGTGTTCTCACAAGAAGTGCAGATGAATGGGCTGAATGTTTTAGTGAGCTTGAGCAGCTATAGATCTGGTTCACAGATGGAACCCAAAGCACCATCAAAACTTCCAGAATTTCAGCAACCTCTGTTCTCTTAAATGTGAAATTATTCTTTGTCCACAGCTCTGCACAACCCTATGTGATTCTGACTCATCTTATCAGTAATGTGAACATTCACAAGGAGAAGATTAAACAAGTTATTGTCCAGTCCAGTTATTGTCCAGTCTGTTTCAATGAGCGTTACAATATGGGGACATATTATACAGATAAGCAAGCCTTCCGTTGTCCTCAGTATGGCCAAGGATACATTTCAAAATTTCTTCTTGCTACTGACCATGAGATGTGGCATGAATTTGCCACTGGCACTCTAGCTGTCCTTCCTCTTGTTTCTTCTTTCACAAGCTTTAAATATACAGTACTGACAAATAAAGGAACCAAGGAAGAGAGCACTTGGGGCCACTCTTTTGATGGTTATGGACCCGATTATTTGAACGTATCATCATTATTACTGTAACTGTTGGGAAAGCAGTATGTTCTGAGGGGGCTGTGTAAATCTCATAAGTTCCATTAAAATCTTATAGTCGGTGATCAAAACAGGTTCCTGGCTTCAGAGAAATAAAGAATATCTCAGCCTCAAATGGTAGGAGGCAAGGATCAGATTGTGACAAAGGAGTAACCTTTCCCACCTCTTACACCATCCCAAGTATTAGGCCCAGGCTAGCCAGCTGTACATGTAAAGCCAGACTGCGCCTGTGGGGTTTCTCTGGTTGTCATCATTTGAATGAGCCCAGTGGACTTCTCAGCAAAAGAGGTGTGAAAGCTACTGAACATTTTCAGCTGCGGCAATTTCAGGATCACTGCCAGGAGGAATCTGAGAAAGCCCAGCTGGGTTTTTGTGATACGTCCTTTACATAATATTAGCCAGTCGTCTCTCACACCCAGGAACAATAACTTCTAGACACACTGCATTTGATTCATTGTTACAACAGGTAGCACAACCTTTATATTGAGAATTCTTGTTGTTTCTTTATTTTGAGTCTCAAGTTTATTTGAAGGCTCCTACAGTTGTGTGATGACATAAGAAGAATGTCTTCTGTTATCATTTTATCTAAGTAATTATCTAAGCCTCTGTGGCTGGAGAATAAAGCTTGAAAATATTGAACCCTTAAGCCTTGAAAACTGAAAGCATTTTCATGCTTAAGATCTCAAGTGTGTTCCTGTTTTCATGCATTTTAAGGTCTTACCTGTTATCAGTGAATATTTGGGGTTGGTGCACTGTAGGTTACGTGAATGCTAAGGAAGCATTTGTGGTGTATCCGACTTGCATTTCCTCTGTTCCAGCTGCACTGGAATGAAAAGCATTTGGAAAAAGTGGGGTTCTCCCCCTTTTGTTACTATATACAGGACTTGGGCTATTATTTTTGGGTGGGGGGTTCACTCTGCTTTGATCCTGCTGTTGGTCCTCTTCAAATGACTCCCTCTGATTTCAATGAGTTTGACTGTGCCCCGTGAGTGTCAGGTTCTGGGCAATTGAAAAGCATGCCAGTGATTCTGTTGACTTTATTGGCAGGAGAGTCAAGACCGTTTACAAGCTGAATTGTTGAAATGTTATGAATGTTATAATAAAGAATGCCCCAGCATCATACCCGGTGTCATGTAAGGTAGAGAAGACTGGTGAGGTAGCTTTTGCCAACCAAATATAATAACAACAGTGTAGGATCTCTGGAGAATACTAGTAAAAACACTAAATAATGAGCCTCGCTAATGCACTGACCTGTGCATCACATTCCTTGGGGGGGCATGGTTTGCAGGTTGTGTATGCGCTTATGAGTATCTGTCCTGCTGGCTAGTATGAATACCATGATGAGCAGAAAGCACTTGCCAGGGATGCATTTCCATCCAGTGATATAGCTACGTAGCTTTATTTTTGAGTCTGGCTGTGAGAAATTCTGGCATTGTTAGCAGGAGCCTTTGCAGCAGGTTGCAGCTAGTAGCGTCTGTTCAGCTTCCTCAATCAGTCGTGGCAAGATTCAGCTCTTCAGATTTACTACTTGTTACATTTTTAGCTGTCGTATGACCACCTCATATGCTTAATCATTTCCCAGTCCCTGGGGGTGTGTTTATATGCTTGCATGGAGATGCAAACAAAAAAAAGTCAAATATGAAAACACTGAATTGTAATAAAACTTGGCACATTCATATGTGCACATACACTAGGCATAACATTTCCTGGAAGCCTGCCTTCAGAGTTAGCAATAATGGCAGGAGACTCTTAACCCAGTCATTTTCAGGGCAAGACATAAAAGTCAGTTCACTAATAAGGACCAGGCCTGTTGCAATTTGGCATGTCACCAGTTATGATAGAAACAGCTAAGGATGTTCTTGCAGTGCCTCCAGGTACATTTATTAAATGAAAACAAGGTAAGAAAATATAACAGCCAGGAGTGTGTTCCCGATGGTGTTCTCCAGCTCATGAAAGCTCGAGTGAAATGGCTGCACAGTACTTTGCAGATTAATACTTTTATTGAGGCCACCTTAGTAAGCTCTCCACAGTACACACAATGCTCTCCAGAACAGTGAAAAATATAGCCAATATAGTAATAGGTTGCTTTCATTTCCAAAGATTAATATATTCATGCAGGCTCTAGAGGCTTGCTATAATATAGATGAGACTAGAAGAGGACATGATAAATGTCACTGAAAAAATTCAGCAATAATATGTTAGAAATCTGTTATACATTATGCATGATTTTATTGAAATCTGCATGTAATCACTGTGCTATAGTTCATGCTGCCTCTAGTATTTGAGCTATCCCCTTCATTCTTGTTCTAAAACCAAACACCCTTTCCTTATTTCATCACTCCTAGAGACCCATATCTTCAGCAAGGAACATAAGTGAATCTTACAAAAACATGTACATATGTGTATATAAAATGTGTGTGTTTGTGTGTAAAATGCAGTAAAATAAGCTGACCTCTAAACAGTTATGAAAACATGGTTGCTCAGTAACTTCCCAAAATACAACTGAAAATACAATACATGATAACAGATATTGCATTGTAAAGGTATGGCATTGTAAAATACATTTAGGAATGTAGGAAGATATTTTTCCAAACTTCTACAAATGGCAAGAAATTTTCTGATCAAAAAGGAACACAGCTATTTTATAGAACATTAAGAGAAGGAAAAAAAAGCTTCACCGCACAATGGGCTGTAAAATGTAGATGACTGAACATGTGGATGACTAGAGCACAGTTGTCTGGCATTCTTCTGTATGTACTTATATGTATAATATAATATATGTGCATGTTGAGAGAGAGGGAGGCAATATTAGTCTGTGTGGGATGGCATACAGTTTTTATTTGAGTTTGAGATGGTTCCATTAGTCACAATTAGTGAAACCACTGGGGTGTGCAGATCATTCTAAAGGAATATCAGTAAGATTGTAGAACACTTTAATTATTTTGTATATGCTACTAAAACTATATTTAATTGACAATTTAGGGAATTTTCAGGCTTTTTCTTTTGTACAATGTGAAGCAAAGCTTATAACAGTAAATTAGTTAGCGTAAGTCCTATGGAAGTAAAATAGGAATGAAATAAACATTCCAAAGAAATA